ATATATATATATATATATATATATATATATATATATATATGTATACATATATGTGTGTGTATGTATGTATATATATTGTAAAACACTGTGTGATAGAGAGAGAAGGAGGCCCACTCTGCTATACACGCTACACGATATTACGCAAGATGTAAAACGTTGGAATACTTATAAATACTGATTTTTAGATAACGGCGCTTTAATGCAACAGAAAGAGGGAGAGAAACAATACATCATATACATATATAAATATTATACATATGCATATACATATATACATAGATATATATATACATATGACGCGTACAAGCATGTGCATTTTCCAGCACAGATAGTTGGTATTTTGTGTACAAAGAGAGCGGGAGAGAAAAGAGGAGTGAAATCTGAGAGAAGCAATTGTTTGTTGAACATTTTCTCCGTCGCGCCGAGCTCATGGGGTCGCCCATCGTGGAAGGTGAGAGATCGATAGGAGAGGAGATTGGGATTGCGCGCGAGTTCGTGTCGCGAGTCTCCCGAGTCCTCGTCGCAATCGTTGCGCCGAATGATCGATTGGACGACGAGACGAGCGATCGACGGCGCGGATCGCGGAACGGCTCGCGTCGCGCGGATCATCCGTCTCTCGGTAGCTACTTTGTATATTCGTCGTCTCATCTGAATGTAATGATATTATCGTCCGGGCTTAGCGTACACACACACGCACACACATGCAGACACGCGCACGCACGCATGTACACACATACAGACACACAAACTCTCTCTCGTCCTCACATCCTACTCGAAGCGCGCGTGAGCCGTTCCTCTTCGTGTATCGCACGTCGCGCGGGCCGTGCATTCTGCAAACGAAATTCGCGAGTGTCCACGTCGCGTCTCTAAGAGAGATTCACTGGACACAGACACCGAACGGTTCTTTCTGAAATTTTCACGACACTTCTGCGCTCGATAGAGCGGGAGCTTTGCCAAATCTCTCGAGAAGGACACGCGGAAACGCCAGAACGTTTCCCGCGAGGGCGACTTGCAGAACGGCGGAAGTGCACGCGCGGTGTATTTTGCAGTAGAGTCTGGTTGTAAAAAGAGGGCAAAGCAACAAGGGAAGGGGAGAAGAATATGAAGAAGAGGGCGAGGGAGAGAAACGGAAGGAGAGAATTTGTCGTAATCGCAGAGCCGTGCACAAACGGACGATTCTACTTGTATCATAATATCTTACGATAGCAACACTGTAACGGTAACGCAACTAACAACAATAAGAAATAGTAGTGTTTTAAGGGGAATGTGTGCGGTGCGAGCCGGCCGGCTCTCTCCGGTGGAATCGCCGAGAAGAGCCCGCGGAGTCGCAGCCGCGAAAATAGGATTAGGGCGCTCTCGCGCGGGATACTCGTCGCGCTACGAGCATCCTTCCGGCGCGGACTGAACTTTGCCAAAGGAAAGACGCGGTCAGGGAGACGCCGACAGTGTAGCGTTGTCGTCGTCGCCGGGAAAAGCGATCCGCGCGAGTGGAACAATCAGTCGCGCCGGGTATCCGGCGCGAGGGCGAGCCCAGAGATTTTTACCAAAATGACTCCGCCACGCGAGGCGGAGGCAATTACAATTAGACGTAATTCGAGGTCCGTTCCGTTCGCTGCGAACGATGACCGCGGTCATCCTTGGGAAGCGCGCGCGCGCTCTCGCGAGGGCCGATCGCTGCCGAATCGCTCGAATAAACGCGATCGATTTGGTGTTCTGCGTGCATTTGTATGTGTGTGTGTGTGTGTGTGTGTATGTGTGTGCGCGCGCACGCGCGTGTGTATGTAGTATAGGAGAAAGAAAGAGGGAGAGAAAGAGACGATCCTATAAATTTGATTCTCATTTCCCGTCGATCGCGTACGCGCGCACGTCGAGAGATCGTCCTCGGGACGCGCGACGAACATCGAGCATCGAGTCGATCCTCCTCCGTGAGATGAAGCGACGTCCCAGCCTGCTTCTTTTTGCACCGAGAAAAACATACTTGGAAATTCATTTGCGGGACAAGAATTCATTTTTCACGGGAATAAACTTTATTTCGCAGAAACAAAGTTTCTCCATAGAAACAAAGTTTCACCATAAATAAATTTTCAAGTATGTTTTTTTCAGTGCACCCGTCGTAAAGATCGCGAAACATATCGTTCGCACCGAAGTGTTGAGCAGGGACGGACGTTCCTTAGGGACATCGCGGAGGGAAGTTCGCGAGACCCGCGACGCACCCAGGTGGACTTACATTTCGCGACGTGGGATAATCGATGACGAAAGGTTTATGTCTATTTCAATTACATTTACGTGCGATGCAAATATATTGTATCGAGAAATTAATCATTAAATTTACAGTAATGTATGTAAAGAACTTTTTACTAATTTAAACAAGAGCTTCTTGGTTAGATTTATGCAGCAATAAATCTAAGAAAGGTTACACACAAATCCTCATGTTATATTTTCTATGACACACCGTTTTGGGTTAATTTTAATATCAAAATACAAAGGCAGAGGACAATGAGAGTCAGTTGCAGTTTGAATTTATTATAATCATATTGTATATGCAATTGCGCATCAATTGATGTGTACCTGCTGTATATTGTAATAGCAACTATATGAGTAAGTGACAACTATAGGAGTTTCGTATGTAGAATCAATTTATACAGTTTAATGAACTATTCTGTAATTATTGCAACTATGTCTAGATACGACAACTATATATAGTTCTCCAATTCTCTATACAATTCCTTTAGCCATATCCAACTTAATAACTACAAAATGATTTATTAAACTATATTGATACTACATATAAAATTCATACAGTTGCCTATGTAGTTGTTACTATGTTATTTTTCTTTAAGTATATAATTTCAATAAATGCAAATGAAATCTCTACAATTTGCTCTGGCCTTTGTATTTTGATATTAAAATTTACTTAAAGCAACCATGTAAAATGTAATAGAAAAATCTGAGTGTAACTTTTCGTGGCTTTTTATTGCTTATAAGTCTACCTAAATGCAAACCACACCTGTAGCATTTGACTTCTACCGTTTTTTATCTTCTTAATAAAAAGAATCGCCATTGTTTTCAACAAAATCGCAACGATTCTCTGTTCAATGTGTAAGACACTTGAATGAGAAATTTAAATAACAAGTTCGTGTTGACAAGATTTCAAGTGTATTTTAATCTTAATCAAAGAGTCTTACGATTTCTCATTTCTCAGTACTTTTATTTCATTATTATATAAACACAAGTGTCATACGAGCCACTCGTAAGGGACGCAGCCTTCACGAATCGAGTGATAAAGTCGCTGCCAAATGACGTACGCCTGTCTATCCGGGTAACTGCTCGCGCTTCATCGCGACGCAATCGACGCGCGATTTTACCCTCGCATTGTTCTCGAGGAACGTTAGCGCGATCGCGCACGGAGTTTCTTGTATTCTTTTCTCTATCTTTCATTTTTGTAATTTCGTCGCCCGATCTGTCTGTCGCGGCGTTCTCGCCCATTTTAGAGCTCCTCGGCGTCGCGCGATTCGGAAACATTCGGCCAGCGATCGATCGCCGGCATGCGTTGCACGGAACGTAATCTGGGAGCGTAAATTGTATTATATATCGAAACCGAAAGACCTTCTATATGTAAGAATAATAATGTATATATATATAATTATATATTACACTCGGTAAACTTAAATTAATTGCACTCTCGAGAGAGGAGCTGCCTCCCTTGATCCGATGAATATCTAGGCGCACCGGAAAACCGGAGGGAGGAATGGAGAAACGATGAAATTCATGGATATAGAAAAAGAGAAAAGGAGGAAGAGAGAGGGAGAAAGAGAGAGAGAAAAGCAAAACAAGCACGTTGTTCTCGCATTGATTTCGAAAGACGAAATGCGTTTCTGATCCAGACCCGTTTTCGTTTCGTTGTTAGTTTGTACGCACTACGATTATCGCAATTTATTGTATTATTGACGAGATACTGTAACAAACAAAAATACTGTTAACTATTCTTAAAAAAATTAAAACTTTTGTAAACTGAGACCAAGCGGTTGGCAGAGAGTTCACTTTTACTTGACACTTCCTTTTCAGCTACTTGAGCAATCCTTGCGAAAATCAGACACACGCACTAAGAGAAATTATCCGATAAAAAATTAACAAACGAATAATTCCAATCAAAATACCTATGAATTTTTGTATCCGGTTAGAAATATCGGTTTATAATTTTTTCATCGGTTTATCTAATGAAGTGCCATTATGATCGGAAATATCCGATAAAATTTAATTGGATATCCCGATCGAATATAAAAATTGATCGAAACTTAGTCGAAAATATCCGTTTGTTAATTTTTTATCGGATAATTTCTCTCAATGAGAGCCAAAATATGCTACTAATGAATATAAGAGTTTGATTATCACTTCATTTTATTAATATCGTTCAATCGGTTTGTCAATACTATTCTTCTATTCAAACTTACTCAATCGCCGGAAACAATTCAATTTAC